TTTACAATCAAAATTATTATTTTTAATTAGACTTTTTCTCACTTAGATTATTATTTATTGTAACAACTAGTCAGTTTAATAAGACTTATAACTTATAACACAAATAACTGTAGTAAAAAATAAAATGATTTATTGTAGACTATGTAACATTTTTTACGATAATCTCCAAAAAATACGGTAAAATAATGCAACAAAAGAAAGTTGCTTACAGAATTATAAAGCCAAATATACACACAAAATTATAGAATAATGAAAAAAATGATAGATATACCTAGCAACAAAAACATGAAAAATACGTAAAACTTACGAAAAAAAACTTAGTTTTGTCATCCAAGTTTTGTCATCCAAAAATCACAAAATGTAACCTCAAACAGCCGTCTTTCGCGCGATTTGCCGACCAATTGGGGGAACCGAAGAGAGGGGTTCAAATGCGAGTCGTTGCATGACAACAAGCACAATTAATCTAAGCAACATTACATTTATGAAATATCGCAATGGTTCATATTATAGTGTATTACTGGTTTATTGTTAGACTACCTACCCTACATAAAATACATAAATCTGAAACTTTATATATATGTATACACAGTAAAAAATCATGTGTACATAGCGGTCTATATGTTAAAATTTTCTAGTGTTACCAAGATTTAATTATTATTTCAATGTAAAATTAACATACAACAGCTATGCTATTATTTTCTTAACATTTTCATGTGTTACATTTATGTCAACGTGATAACTTAACACTTTATGTATGTCATACATTTAGAAATTAAATATTATTTTGAGTTCTTTTAACACAATTATTTTAAAAAATTAACACGTCTTAAAATTATTTTAACACATAAACAAAAGTTAAGTAAATTTTCAAATAATCTTAAACTTTGACATACATGCAAAATAATTAAATTTACTAAAATTAAATGTTTTTATTACAATTCAAGTAAAATAATTAATATCACGTGTTAATATAACTTAAAAAACAAAGTCAAAAGAACAAATATAAATGTAAAGTATAGTGTCAATTAACATTTTTAATTTGTCAACAAGTAACACACGATAAATGAATCATTTTAACTTAAAATTTAGAGTGGACTTTCTGGGACATGTAAAAAATATTAAAAATATTATAATTACGTTTTATTTTTTACTGTGTATAGTGTTTTATTATACATATAAACAACTTTACAACTTTATCGATTATTTAGTCGATTTAATTACAATTTATAAAAATTTTAATGCAATTAATTACATAACTAATTTTAAAAAATGATGAATATTATGTAACAAAGCGCTGATTATTATGTAACAATATATATATATAGAAAATGTTTGAGGTGTATTTGTTGTTAAAGTTTTTTGAAGTCTTATTATTTCTTTATTTAAAAATTATTTAGAGTAGAATAAGAATAAATGTTAAAAATTACATTAAATAATAACATAATTTTTTAATAACAATAAAATTACTTTATACGATGTAAAAGTATAATAGAATGTTAGATTTTGGAAGATATGGAATACTAAATAACATCTGTTGTTCTCTAAAATTAATAAAAATTAATGATTTTATTTATTTAAACTAAAAATTATAAGTATTTGATTATGCTAATCTACTTAAAAAAAAAGTATTTTTTTGAAGGCGTGCATTATTAATTTGTGTTCTAAATAACATTTCCGCTACATACTGTTTATTGATAATAATGATAATCTTGTTTACATAAGACGGCAAAATATGTTCAGAAAGAGCTTGAAATTTTAGTCCATCTTTTTCCGTCGACGTACTCCCTTAAATTGCGTTTGCCGACGTAACCGCCAGTTTGTAAATCCCGGAAGTGGATATTAATAGTCATGGAGTTCTCAAAAAAGTTCATCTGGTTATCGTCTGGATGCAGCCTCTGTGGAGCTTTAACCTGATGCGTTATTGCTTCGATGAATATAGAAAAAATGAGAAGGGTGATTTCTCCGCAGAGACTCTCCATTAAGAGATGAATCCCATGAGCGTGGCTGTTGCATTGCCAACTTCTTTCCAGGATGACGATCATTTTTCTGATGAAAATAAAACCACACGTGAAAAAGTACCATGCAAAGAATTTATAAGTATCTTGTTATAAGTATTTTGATATAATGAAAAAAACAAAAGGAATACAACAAACAGCATTAGATAATGTTATTATAAATAAGAAAGCAGATTATTTTTAATAATTATAAGTAATACGAAGGAAAATCAAAGAGTATATGGATTGTATACAGATTCTGTAAATATAATTAGGGTTAAAATTAATCTTAATTAGAGTTTTCTTTGAACAATCAATCATTTTTAATCACATAATTATAAGCATAAAAATAATCTAAATTTTGTGTTAACATCAATTAGATATTAAAATCAGGACGCATATTTTGATTAATAGGATACTTTAAATCAAGTAATTATTTTTATGTTGTTCTTTGTAAATAACAATTATTGAAAAGATAAATAACAATTTACTTGAGTAGCTTTTACTTGTTCTTAATAACTTTTATATATTGTAATTTTATATTCATCAATTTTTGGCAATATGACAAACTGCCAGATAAACCTCTGATTTACCTCTATTTTGTGTTGCAAAAATATAGAAAACCGTGTTAAAAGGCCAATACATCACAAGAAAAACGTTGGCAAATGTGGCTAGCGCAAAATTTATTTTCCTCGAAATTCTTTGCTCGTATATACACTATTGTTTTAAGGTGGTCTTTGTGACGCAGCGACGAAATGTTAATTAATGTTCTCTATCTCTGAATTTGTTGTTTGAGAATTACTTGAGTAAAGTAAATCGAATGTGTATTAGGAAACCGAAGTCAAGCTTATCGTCATAAAGAGCAAAGCAGATGTGTATGAGCCGCACATAAATAAAAGTTTATCTACCCGATAGTCGAAGGAAGTTTGAAGAAACCCCTCGTCTCTCAGGGACAGCAGATCCTCTCGTAATCGTTTGTATGAGATCGATAAAATCGCTTGGGGTACAAACACACGAATTTATATATTGATTCACCAGACACACTTTTCCAAAGGAATTTCAGCTTGCTATAGAGCTAAAGTGAAAGATTTGCAACAAAAGTGAGACTCTTGAGTAATCCGAGACATCTTTTAGACTTAGGTAATTTGATACAGGTGACGGTATCTCTCCCAGAGATTTTTATTATAAATTTTTTGCATTAAATAAAAAGGGTTGAAGAAGATAAGAGTAGGATCAATGATCATTTAAAGTACTTTACGCAGTGTTGTTAACTTAATTACATCCGCAGATTTTATCGTTCCCAGTCTATAAAATTGCTATTTCACCTGCAGCTTAAACGTTAAAAAATTTTATATCAAAACATTATACAAAAATTGGAGTGTTTAATTGGTGACTGGTGACTATTAAAGTGCATCGTAAAAAAATACTCTGCACAAAATAATATAATATATGTTAAAAATATAAAAAAATATACATAAAAAATTAACAACAAATAATTTTAAATAGGTCTATTTTTTTCACTAAATTGCAACTAAGTTAATAATTTAATTTGGACAGGATAAAATACATGAACATCTAAAATAATTTTCTAAATAGAAAAAAGAAATACAAAGTAGCATTTTCATAAATTTCATGATTTTATTACATAACGAATATCGCTATTTAAAGCGCTGAAGGTAGAATTTAACGTATATCCCGTCTACATCATGAAGTTGCAGTATAGTATACAGTATATATACACTGTTGATTGCTGTTGAATATTCCGTGATAAAACGAAATGGTAATTAGGAAGTATTTTAAGACGCGACATTATTTAGGACGTTCGCATAAATGAATACTGTTTAAAAATTATTTGCGCTAGTTAAATTTCTTAAGTTGCAATCTATAACAAATTTTTCAAACTGTATTATATCTTACACATAATTATAAAATGCGAAAATATAATAATACATTGAATTAGCGTAGTGAGATGCAGCTGTGCGCGCGACATTCTATTATATATTATGTTGCAAATTCTAAAGAGACCTGGGAAAAATAACATGTTAGTTGGACAATGTGTAATAAAATTAATTTTTTTTTCTTTTAGAAGATTATGTTGTAAATATCTTCATATATAAATGAGGACTGTTTTCTGTTCTTAATTAAGAACGTATACTTGCTACGAATGCAAAACTTTTATCGAGATAAAAAGTCAGTCGTTAACATCAAAGAGATGCATAATGCGATGAAAGGTCGTGGTTTAAGCAAAAATGTAATATGCGCGTCACGTTCTCGGCGAGAGATGTACATCGAGTCAGTCCGGCAAATTTAACGATAAAACGAAGAAGTTCCTGATCTGATTACGCACGTATTCACCTTTTCTGTCTCACGACTAAAGTTAATTACTGCCGGCGCTGATGCGGCAAATGACATTTTTTATGAAGCAATCTAGAAGATATAATTTCCGATTAATCCTCTCGTCTGCAATTTTCTGCACTCTTATACTCAGCGTGTCGTGATTTAAATCATCGTAGAAATCGTTTTGCCGATTAAATATCGAGTATATAGTTTGTAATAAAAATAATAGTAATTAAATAAATAAAAATAAGTTATTGTTTTCGTCTATTATTAGCGATTAATGTGCATAAAACAATGCAGACATGCATAAAATATGTATATCGCGTATATTTTTATTCATAAATTTTCTTAAAATTACAAAATTATAAAATTGATCTGAAATATTTTATTATAAAACTTAAACTTATTGTTAATCGTACAAGATGCTTTATAATAGTAAATATGAATATAAATAGTAATTTTATGAGTGAAAATAGATCGCGAGAATCTCTTAAACTCCTAAATCTCGTAAATTCATAAGTGCATATATTTGTCTTTACAATATTTACAAAATTACTTTAGAAAATGCAGAACAGCGAAGCGCATGTTTAGTTTTGAAATGTTATTCACAGTTCCTACTTTGATAAAATTGTCGCTGGGTGTGTTGAGCTGTCTTCGTAATGTTCACAGGGAAATGTCTGGCAGCAGCTTCTGTCCTTCCATTTCATCCTGGAACTGGTCAACACAATCCCGTTCACAATCACGGTAAGATACGTAAGAGAACACAATCGCTTTCTATTTTTAACACTTATTCTAAATTAGTTCACGAATAGGGCTATAACAATATATTTCTATATGCGCACTCTTGTAATATTTACAAAATTTGTTTGATTGCATATAAACAAATTTTCGGATTGCTAATTTGTACAAAACTTTTTGTAATTATGTATATTCTAAAGTAAATTCAATAAATATATGAAATGGCCTGTAATCTCTTAAAAATGATAACCCAAGCTGCTTAATTTCTCTGATTGCCTGTGATAATTTGTTTCTAATATATTTGTTTTTTAAATTATTTATTTATTAATATAGATAGAGATCTTAGAATCGTAGTAAATAATAATTGACAGTTTTATAATTAAAAGTTAAGATGTTGACACAAAAGTACAATAAAATTTTTAAAGAAATCTTGTATATTGTACATACATATATGTTAAACGTAACTACACTTGCATGAAAATGCAAGAACTTCATTCGCGTCAAGCGTCCAACTATAATGTATCGATTTTTACATGTCCCATAGGGAATAACCTTTATCTCACAGTGGACACAATACGTAACGACATTACGTGCACGGTTATTGTGCTTTGGAATTTAATTAACTTAACCTCATTAATTTTGGATTATGCGGTGACGTTTATGTAGCGTGCAAACTGGATGTACAAGTTCTTAGTTTTACATTTATTTATGAACATCTCGTACCATAAAAATGTGAAAAACGTGCAGTTATAAAAAGAACTAAAGTAATTCTAACACTTTAAAATAGCATTCCAAGAAATCTTGTTAATTAACTTCATATAACATTATAATTGTCTATTTAACACCAACCCAGGTAGCAGAGTGACGTCAAATGACGTATTAATAACGTCTTAATGACGTCTCTAACGTCAATAAAACGTCATTAAGACGTCTTTAGACGTCATTTTGCTACCTGGAAATCATTAAGAAAATATCAATATTGATCAATTGTATTTTTTTCAACATAGGTTAAATAAGGTAAAAAATAATGTCTTGTAATTTGTTATATATTTATCTTTGGTCTCATCTCTTTCTGAATTTTGAAGTATAAACAAAAAATACAAAATATAAAACAAAGTAATTGAATTCTACAGTATTAAGAGAAAATGTGATGAGAAAAATGTTTCAACGATATATATTCAAATTTGCATTAACGATATATACAATTAGATGTATATGAAATTTTAAAATTATAATATATTTTCATTAAAACCAGTACGCAGTCTAGAGTTTAATATTCAAACATATATTCTGTCGTCTAGCATGATGTGGATCTTTGATGCTGCAAAGCAAGCACAATGAGCAAATGTTCATGTTCAAACGTTCAAACCAAGCAGCTGCGTTGATGTTTACTTCATAAATATCTACAACTGCCAAATACTAGACGTAGCATTTATGGTCATTATATTCCTTGCAAATTGTAACACAAATGCTTATTTAACTAATTATTAAATCAATTATTATCCAAAAAAATCAAACATTCCTCAAAAAGCACGTGAAAGAAACGATATAATTCAGAATTGTTTGAAGAATAATTTAAGTTTATATTACACGCACAATAGATATAGGCATGAATAATTTTATTACATATTATAATTTATAATATATATCAAAATATAATTCACTCTTTTTATTTTTTTATTTAATTGTTTAATTGTTCAAAAGAATTTTTACCTGTAAAGTTACATTATTTTTACTTGAAAGTAATAATAATTCAATTTAATTTTTTTTAATAAATAATTTGTTATCTTAAAAACATATTATGCTTTAATTATAACGATTAAATTGAAAGCTATTTTCTTGAGAAACTAGAACATGGCTGAACACGCTGGAACTAATTAGATCCATAATAAATTTACAAACCATTAAAAATGTAGAGTGGTAATTATAATTTATAACAGACAGAATATTATAATATCTTAATAAATCAGGTGGAAGATGGTATATAATTAAAGAGATATCTATATTATGTACTTGCAGTTATTATACCCGCCAATGAGAAATCTGTTCATTCCGGTGTTCCTAAATTGTTGGTTGGCAAAGCACTCTTTGGAAAATATGTTCGTAAGTACCTCATCCAAACTAGCCGTAACTTATGTCAAGCTTAAATCTGATTCGCGGTCAACTTAATTATATTTCAGAACGACTTACACCGAGCAATGCAAAAGTCCCAATCGGCATTAAGTCAACAGCTGATGATCCTTAGTGCTACGTTACTGTGCCTTGTCTTTACTAGGTGAGTGCTTTCAAATAATATTTATTGCACATTTGTATTCTCTCTCTTAAAAAATATATATATTTAAGATATTATAATCCTTTACTTCTTTATTATAAATTATAATTTTTAATATATGACAATTTTAAACTTAAAAATAAACGCTCTTTTTAGTGTGTTTATACAATAAATTTTTCTTAATTATTTTTTATCTTGGCATATTTTGGGCGTCGTGAATGTTTCGAAACTACATGTATTATAATTAACAGAGATAATTATTCGCGAATAGACTTGCAATGAAGTTTGTACTGCTCGCTTTATCCTGCTTATTCGTTCATCAATGATACATTTGCAACAGAATAGTATAAAGTTTCTAGAAAGGGTATTCCTATTGTAAGGAGAATTGATTGAAGAGTATACTCCAATATTCATAAATTTCTAGTCAGTCGTTATTGTGAGTAAGAAGACGTCATTTTTTTATTTGACTGAATAAGTTATTCGAGATTATATATGGGGTATTCTACCCCATAATGGGGTATTCTACCCCATTGAAATTTTCATTTTCACCCTGACCTACTTCAATAATTTTGACCATTTTTTTCCGAGAAGTATTCTGAAAAAGAGAAGACACGTATTTTTTGGTTTGAGCTTGTGATCAATATTTCCGATAGTGTGATTTTTATAAAAATTGAATTTTTCGGTAACTCTATATATACTTTTTAAAACGTTAATATCTTGATAATGTTCAATCCTATCGAAAAACGGTTCGGATAAAATTTGTTCAGTTTAAAATGAATTACACGATGTATATATATTTTTTTTAATTTTTTGGACAGTCTAAAGTTGTATTCAACATTACTCGGACTAAAATAGTCAAAATGCATCCGTTAGTAGCAGATTAATAATATATATCTTGATGTTATGTTGTTACGAAATAAAAAAACACATTTTTTGGTGTCATATTTTATTAACCATAACGAATTTTCTGTACAAAAGCCTGTGTTACGTTTTATAACTAATTCTGCTATAGTACTCGATATCTTCAGTGCATTATCCGAATTGGCAACTGGAAAGTTATCGCTAAAAGATTTCCTTTCGGAAGATATCGAGTATTATAGCTTAATCCTAAAACACAGGTTTTATACAGAAAATTCGTTATGGCTAATAAAATATGACACCAAAAAATTTGTTTTCTTATTTTGTAACAATATAATATCAAGATATATAATATTAATCTGCTACTAACAAATGCATTTTGACTATTTTAGTAATTTTTAATAGAATGTTTACAAATCTTGTTTTTAATTTTAAAAAATGTTGAATTTTACAAAAAATAATTTTTCCTAACGCGAGCGTGAAATGGGCCGCTTTTCGTGCTTGTTTTGAGTGAGCAAAACGATCCATTTCTCCACTAGTTGAAAAATGAAGCCATTTCTCAACTAGTGGAGAAATGAAATTGTAAAACAAGCGCGGCCTGTTTCACGCTCTTGTTAGGAAAAATAGTATGAACAACTCGTGGGAAGAGTGGTCGAGCCCAAATGAGTGTGATGGTCGCACTCGCTTCGCTTGTGCGACCAACTTCACACTCATTCAGAATCGACCACTTTTCCCACTAGTTGTACAATATATTATTTTCCTCTTTAACATCGTATAACACAACTTTAGACTGTCCAAAAATTAAAAAGAATATATACATCATGTAATTCATTTTAAACTGAACAAATTTTATACAAACCGTTTTTCGATAGAATTAAACATTTTCAAGATATTAACGTTTTAAAAAGTAGATATGAGTTACCAAAAAATTCAATTTTTACAAAAATCACATTATCGGAAATATTGATTGTAAGCCCAAACCAAAAAATGTGTTTTCTCTTTTTCAGAATACTTCTCGGAAAAAAATTGTCAAAATTATTGAAGTAGGTCAGTGTGAAAATGCGCATACGCAGAGTGCCCCACATATAAAAAAGCAAAAATGTATTAAAATATATTTAAAAAATTGTTTAATACTATATGTACATAATATGCAGAAATGTATAAAAGAAACATATTAATAGTTGCAATCATAAATTGTTAAGTACTGAAAATTGTTAAATAAATATTAACTATACTATTAATCTTAACCCGTTGAGGTCACATGGGGTCCAATGGACCCCAGGCTTTTTTTTATTTTTTTCTTAAAAGTATACTATTTTGAGAGTAAAACGCACAAAGTTTTTTTACTCTATCTCAAAAAATTTTGATGAATATTTTTGTGAAAAAAAGTCAAATTTCTCGAAAAAAAAATTTTTCTCGCGTTTTTTTTCAACATAAAAAATTTTTTTAAATTATTGGATTATCAAGAGGAAGTCATAAATTAATTCCAGTTCAAGGTTTGAGTCGATACATCAAAAAGAACGCAAATGGAAACTGTTGTGGGGTCCATTGGACCCCATGTGACCTCTACGTTATTTTTAGGAGGTGTGACCTCAACGGGATAATAATTACAAGTATAATATTTTAGGATATTTATGCGTTATAGGGAATCTCTCCGATGGTCTTGACCTTGACATATGTTTTCAAGGTATCACTCTGACAATGAGTAACATACAAAAGATTTTAGCCATTGTTCGTTGTTTATTAAAAAGTTACTAACAAAAAAGTTTGAGAAATATAGCAGTTTGTGTCAGTGCTAAGGGAAGTAATTTGCTGATATGTGTGTATAGGCAGTATACATGTAGGCGAGGAGAGGCGTAGCCCCGCCAGCAGGGGTGGGTGGGCCGGGGTGGACCTCGGTTCGCGTGGAAAGTTAAAAACCCGAACCGTATGCTGTCTAGAGAACCATCCACGCGAAACAAGGTCCATCCCTGTTTACAAGGCGAAACAAGGTCTATTATTGTAAATTTTCAATTTTCCACGCGAAGCGAGATTTAGCCCTATCCACCCCTGCTTGGGAGAGTCAGTATCCCTTCTCTCGCCTGCATGTGTACTGTTTATACACACATATATATCAGCAAATTACTTCCCTTAGTATTGACACAAACTGTTATATTTCTCAGTTACATTTGTTAATAACTTTTTAATAAATAACGAGCGACGGTTAAAACCTATTGAAAGTTACTCAGAAGGGTGATTTATATAATATATGTCAAGATTATAGTCATTAGAGGGGAGGTGCCCTATAATTACCGAGTTTATAAATATCAATTTCGCGTTTATATATAAGAGGACCAAAATAAACCGCGAGGCAATCAACATTTTGCTTCGTTGTTAGATTGAATGATTTATTGTTGCGCGCGATCACTTTCTATTTATTTCAATATTGTTTTATTTGTTCTATTTACCACACGCAAATCTCAATCTGGATCAAATCTTTCTTCTACAAATTTCAAAAAAAGAATTAAAATGTATGAGACAATTCTCGTCGCTACAAAAATATTAAATTTTTAACTCTATACCTACGTAATTTATTATGCGATTTAGAAAAGATCATTTTTATCAATAAATTTTATATTAATCTTACATATAAATTAGTACAATGCATAATAAATAAAATATAAATCGTTTTTAATGAATGAATCTATAATCTGATATCAAATTGTATTAATAAAAATTATTGTTTTCTCAACAAACAACTATTTTAAAAGCCATTTGCACTTCAATATAAGATTATTTTGTATAAAAGATTTTGGTTCCGACTAATTACCTGAAGTTTCTGCTCTGTTTTAAAGTCTATTTGTCGAAATAAAATTAGCATGAGTCCAAATAAGAAGGAACAAACAAGAAAATATAATTTTTGGCATGTTTTAATAATACAAAATATTATGTTGTTACCTCAAGATTTAAGGTGAAAGATTTGTAATCCTACATGCAAACAATCATGAATTGATATTCGCAATGGACTTGATTCGTGACACTGCCGTAATGAAGTTTCCACCCTAGCATTCGCGCGTTATTTAAGTTTACATAACGAACGTATTTCATTTGTCGGCGTGAGGGACTTATTGTATTATCCGAATAACGAGAAAAGTTTTCCAGCCGGAGTACGAGTTCGTATTTACGAATCCAAGTCGTGGATGACTGCGGTTCGTCTTGTTTAATCTTCGAATAAAGTTGTATTTGTAAACGCGACGGCGCAGAGAAAGCTTAGATTGCGGAAATAAATGAATAGTTTGCATGTATGATCTCGTCTGCCATTTTCGTTATATTGCAAATACTTACTTAACTTGAACGCATTTTCTGTAAAGCAGCGTAAACCAAAAAATATCAAAGTATAATGATATAATGATAATGAAATGTCTTACGTTATCTTCATTTATTTGATGAAGAAAATATTTAATAGCCACACAACAGAGAGATTACAATTTAATATATTTATGCAAATATAAAAATTAAATAATAAATTATTAAAATATTAACAGTAAATATATTAAAATAAATAAATTAATAAATACATAAAAATTAATTAATAAATGTATTACAGTATATAAGATATTAATTAACATTTAAGAACTTTTAAAAATCAAATGTCTTTTATGTGTCATTCTACGGCGAGAATAAAAAGTCGCGATGAGCAATTTGCAGCGTGAAAAAAATGTGATTTGATTGAAAAAATTCGCCACGGGTTACTAAAAATTCATATATCGACTGTGCAGGTGCGAAAAAAACAAACGCCTGTCATACGCAGATGGTGGAATTCGTAACATCAATCGTCATCGCATATTGACGTGGAAGTTGCAAACCGCAGATAATTTGCAGCTCCCGGTTCTACAATATGAAAAAAAAATTCTATATAAAAGTTTAAACGCAAACTTTTGAATAAATAAGAATTTGTGTCAGGTATGAAAAAAATAACGATTTGTCACATGCAGCCGGTATAATTTGCAACAATTGTTAGAGTTTTGTTTATACATATCAGGACATTACAAACTGTTGCGAAATATATACACGGAACTACGTTGCATTGTACAATCTTGCTATTTTGAAAAATAAATTGTAGTCCCTTTTCAGATTTTTAAAATTGATTAAAAAATAAAAATATT